AAAATCAAATTTGATTTTCTTTTCTTTCGGTATTTTCGAACACGAAATGTTAACGTTGATTACGAACGATTTAGTATTAATAAATGCATATGAAAAGCTTTATTTAAGGGGGAAAATCAAGCTTATATTAACGGACTGCGATGTAAATTCATCAAAAGCTTAAAAGAGAGAGAGAGAGAGAGAGAGAGAGAGAGAGAGAGAGAGAGAGAGAGAGAGAGAAGAGAGAGAGAGAGAGAAGAGAGAGAGAGAGAGGGAGGGAAGGAAAGAAAGAGAGAGAGAGTGAGAGAAGGAAAGAAAGAAAGAGGGAGAGGGAGAGAGTGAATATTTTCTGTTCACGGATGAAAATTTCAAACTCGTTTTACAGACTTCATTTTCCTCAATTTTCACTTCAAGGGTGCAAGAGCGATCCTCCCTTGGCCACTTCCAACATGACATTGACATGGAACGGAGATCATGTTGTAGGCACGTTGGCAGAATACTCGTAAGTATGCTGTTCTTGTGGTTGAATGTTGGTAATTGTCGTTCCACATAACCATCATCTTTTATTATATAATTATCATTGCCATCGTTATAATTACCATCGTCGCTATCAAGATCACCATCATTATTATCGTTATTAGTGTCATAGTCTCCATTACTGCCATCATCGTTGTTATCACTGACAGCAAAATTATGCTGCGTTCGGAATTGCTCGTCTTGCTCGTCCAGACAACTTGTCAGGACCAACAGGACAAGGAGGCCGCGTTCGGAACCTCCAAGACCCTTTCTGCCCAGATGCAACCGGCTCGAATGTAAACATTCACTTTTTTATCACACCGGGGTGTTTATTTTACCCGCTGCATTGGTTTTGTAATTCCTTTGATGTATATTTAACTTACATGCAACTGACAAACACAAAAATATCCTTTGATAACACCAATAAAGGGCCATGAAATTACCCATCAGTAAATTGTGGTTGCCTACAACTGACAGTGTTTACATATAAAAGGCACTGTGACGTCATCTCGTCCTTCGCGGGAGGGCGAGGTGGACGAGATGGACAACTTGTCCAGGACGAGGAAGTAGAGGTTCCGGACGGCCAAGGCATCTTGTCCAGCTGGTCTGGACGAGCAGGACGAGGAGTTCCGAACGCAGCATTATCATCGAGCATTTCACATCATCACCTTCAGTATCAAAAGTATCACCATGACATATATTCTTCTTTATTGCCAGAGTAAAACAAATTGTTATTCACCATCACCACATCACCAATACCAAAACATTGTCATTGTTATCATCATCATCACATCACCACCACCACCACAATCATCACAACCACCAACCACCACCACTTACCACCTACCAACACCACCTACCACCACCGTTTATCCCCCCCCCCTCCTCTCGCACAGCTGCGCCCCCGGGTTCTTCATGGACGGGAACATCACCGTAAGCAACTGGACCATGCAGTGTCTGGGTCAGCTGGGCGAATGGTTCCCTCAGCCCTTACCCGAGTGCAGACAAGCCAATGGTAGGTTGAGGGCCTATGAAGTAGTGTTTGTGTGATTGCATGGGTGTGTGTGCTATATATATATATATATATATATATATATATATATATATATATATATATATATATATATATATAATATATATATATATATATATATATATATATAATATATATATATATATATATATATATATATATATATGTGTGTGTGTGTGTGTGTGTGTGTGTGTGTGTGTGTTGTGTGTGTGTGTGTGTGTGTGTCTGTGTGTGTGTGTGGTTGTGTTTTTCTGCGTGTAAATTTTGTTTGTGTGTCTGTGCGTATGAATTTGTATTTGTCCGGGTGTGTGTATGTATGCGTGTATATTTTGTTTGCGTGCCTGTGCGTCTGGGTGTGTGTTTGTCTGCGTGTATGTATGTATGTGTGTATATTTTGTTTGTGTGTCTATGCGTCTGAGTTTATATTTATGTAATTGTGTTTGTGTGACTACCTCGGCGTTTGTGTGTATATGTATCTTTGCGTAATTGTTCGGTGTGTGTGCGTGCGTGCGTGCGTGCGTGCGTGCGTTCGTTCGTGCGTGCGAGCGTGCGCGCGCGTGCGTGTGTGTGTGTGTGTGTGATCGTGTTTGGACATTCCTAAGCTAAGTGTAGGCCTATGGCTTCGAGTATAACCAGAAACGTTGACATTTCTTCTGTCGCCAACAGTATGCCTGGAGGAAATGCCAACAGTCCCTTCTCCCCTTATATGGAACACAACGGATGAGAACGTGAGGTACTTGTACGGAACGGCCCAGTACTGGTGCCCCGAAGGCATGGCAACAGCACAAGGCATGGCCGTTCAGAACGTTACTTGCAGCCTTAGCCAAACCACTGGCGAAACCATCTATTCGTTCACGCCGGCCATTTTGGAAGACTGTACAGGTAATGCATGTTTGGTGTTTAGATAGACATTAACGATTGTTGTACAATATCTGATCATTTCCTGTCAATAAGAATCCAATAATGGGACTT